CGAAAAAAAAAAAACATATGGCACTGTGTTGTGAAGTGTGAGTCATGTTTTATTAAGACAAAAGGAAGGCTTCGTTCATTTTATGCGTGGCTTGATTTGTAGTTATTAATCACCTTAAGAGTTGATCAAATAAACCTCGATATTGATAAATTTCACTTTTATGGCAACATTTTCAACACACGGGTGCGTCCATATTGAGTCCAACGAGAAATAACGTGTGTGTCATATCCTGTAAAACAGCAGACACACATTGGACAACAAAAAGGACACAAAGAATAACGATGCCATTATGCTCAGCAAAAATTTGCAGGCGGTCGACCAGAAACAGCAAAAAAGGTGCATGCTCACATGTTATTCCACAATTTTTACAAAAAGTGTACTTGCGTAAGTTTTGTCTAGCTTCTGTGTGCGCAAGAACAGGCAGGCATGCACGCATGTGCAGTGAATATTTCAGCAAAGAGGACTTGGATGCAGCTTGAGAGAGGACAATGCCATGCAGTTGACATTAAAAGCAAATGCCGTGCCAAGTATTTCTAGAATTTATTTTTGAGCAGAAATTGGGAGATTGAGTTTAACTGCCCGAGGGAGGATCTGCTGCATGGGCGGCATTGTGGCTGTTATGTCCATAATGCAAGCGGAGTCCGCGCTCGTAATTTAAGACACTGAGACAGCGGAACAAAACAGCACTCTGATCTTCATGCAGGTAAGGTAGGACCACTTATTAATTACAACATTGTTCACGTGTGGGTAGCGAACAAACGACATGGCTGACATGGCGCTGTCTGTCGCACTTCCTGGCCTACTCGTTCTCCAAAGTGTATTGTAATCCAGCAAAAGGCCATCCGTCCATTAGAATGGAATTTCACTCAGGAGACTTATTCCCTCATGTTGGCTGGAAACTATATGACTTCATTCTTTGAGGATTAACGCTCTAGATTAGGGGTGTCCAAATTCGGTCCTCAAGGGCCCTTGTCCTGTCTGTTTTCCATCTCAACAACACACAATTCAAATAATCAGGATCGTTCTCATGCTGCTTCCGAGCTGGCTGATGAGCTGATCATGAATCAGGTCTGTTGCAGCCGGGAGAGCTGGCAGGACAGCGGCCCTCCAGGCCCGAAGCTCGACATGCCTGGTCTAGATGCTTCGGTGAAGCTACAAGTGCGTGTATTCATATTGTTGTGTAGTCCCGTCCAACTTTTGCACGTGTCGGTTACCAAGTAACGTGTTTAATGAACATGGCGGCAGCTGTATTCTTTTTACAATCATGTTTTCAGTTATTAAATGTACATGAAAAATAATGAAGTTACAGACAAAATATTAACCTTTGACTGCTGCAAATGACATACACAGTGAAACTCCTCTACATCGAAATCATGTTTGCAGCAAGAAATTTTTCACAACAGGGGGTTATTCACTGTAGCAAATTCGATCTCAGATGTAAACACACACACACACATACACACACACACACACACACACACACACACAAAAACGTATGTGTACTCTTTATTTTTATTCCAATAGTGCAGAAGTATGAGCATACACTTATTTGACACTTCATATAGTCAGTGTAGAAGGAAAAAAAGGGGAAGAAATTGCGAAATTTACGATCAGCAATCACTTTCTCTTACATCAATTTCTTGGACAATGTCTTTTATTTTGCTTCCTCCGTCTTTCATTTTGATCACTTTTACCCTCTCTTCCAACGTCAGAGCTCTTCTTGTCTTAACTGCTTGAAATCCAAAGGTCCGTTTTGTAGCCATTTTAGCAATGCAACGTTCTTGCTGCGTCTGAAACTAACAATAACAAATACTTCCTGGTCTACTGCGCATGTGTAAACCAGTGTGGTGGTTGCTGTTGCCATTTCCGAACGAAGCAATAGAGGTCGCTGTTGGATTAGACTTTGTTGCAGTGAATCTCGTCGCGAGGCAAGAGCAGAGAAAAAGATTTCATATAACGCAACAGGGTTTTTTTTCGTTGTATGGGGGGCAGGAAAGTGGGAATGGTGTTAATGCATAAAGATTTTTTTCACACTAAGGGGTATTTTCGCCCATGTAGGTTTCGTTGTAGAGGAGTTTCACTGTATATGTGAAATATCCCTGTAATAATGTAGTTAGATAGAGTGCCTTCCATGATCATCTGTATGCATGAACTTCTGCAGACCCATGCAACCAGCCTTGTTTGGGAACAGCAATCCAGATCCCGGGCAACGGGAGAGGCAAGATATATTGGACTCAAGTTGGTCCAATGAGTGTCATGTAATCATCGTATCAGAAAACACATCATGTCGTAAAACTAGTTAGAGGTGAGTGGAGGTCGTGTTAAGTGGCATCTAACACAGAGGGACTTTATCACCATGCTAAACACGTTAATATCACTACTTTTCCAAGCAGCTCACTCGCTGCCAACCTCCATTGTTCAGCTGTTCCAAATGCCATGCAGTGGAGGAGGGGTGAAGGTGGGAGCTGAAAGTGGGCTTCAAGTAGCAGCATGAGTTGTTTCTAAACAAAACTAACTCTGAACAAAGCGTCAAAACCACCAATAATATGTAAGTAATGCTAACACGTATGGATACGTGTGTTACACTGTCCCTCCCATCAATACTGAGTAAGCAAAGAAACTTTTCCTTCCCGCAACCCAAACTGTTGACTGACTAGAAAAATGTGTAAGTGCAAGGGGCTAAGTGGCTCCACGGTATGTGGGTGTGCTTGCTTTCCAACGCAATTCGATTATAATCAACTCAGAAAAAAAAATCCTCCCTGGCAATTACTTTTCAGTGACTAATTAGTGAGGAAGGATTTTAATAAAACACCACCAAAAATTGAAAAAAAATATTTGATGAAATAGTCAAAGACTATGTGGTATCACATGATGTCAACATAATAGGAGGGAAGTAAATTGGTTACAGAAATAAGAATTTATACAGTAGATTATCCTGCCTCCTCTCACATTCCAAAAACATACGATACAGTGAAACCTATCATGGTTGATAGATTCCAGACATAACATCACTTTCACGAAATAAAAAGAAAACTCTCTCGCTTGCCTAATTGTCCATAACCAAGGCAACGCATGCTTATTTGCTTCCTGTTGAAGTTTACTGTAAAACTGACAATTAAAACAGAATTCAATATTCTACGTTGAAACACCAAAATGTTGAACCAGCCACAATATCATTTCATCTTTCGCTTAATGGTGACATAATAACGCAAAACACCTGAGACAGGCTAACAGAAATTAGCATAAGTGTGTCGGTCGTTACAAACAACTTCAAACACCCATTACTTTATAACATACACAGGGGAGCAATGCATCCTAACAGAACATACGACAAAAGGAATTAAGCATTGTGTATGTAAACAGACAAAATGGACAACCGAACCATCTTAATGCCATCATAACATACAGAAAGTCACAGATGGGCTTACGGAAATTAGCAGAGATTTACGGTAATTATAAACCGTCAAAGACGGTTTATAATTACATTAACACACGCAGAGTAGCAACACAGGCATGTTATTTTCTCTGCACTTTTAGGAACAGATTCCTGCATCTCAGTAGGAGACCTTCTCTGCCTCTTCTCCTTCTGCTTAACTATGCTGCACCTTTGCACTGTGACGCGGACGTGCTAACCAATCGCCTGGTCCAAGATCTTAAACCACAATTACAATTTTTGCTATGCATGGATTTTCTATTGAAGTTTACAATTTATAAAAAAATAACTACAATCTTGAATAGGAATAAAATGTTTTTTTTCCCCAATGGAACTGTGGTGAGGCCTGTCTGTTGATCATCCGAAGAGCCAGGCAAACAGTCTGATAACTCTACATACTGTAGTGAAGAAATGGAAAAACAAACAGGTCCATCGTGCATCGTGCATTCTCTACTAAGTGATTATTCTGGTTATGTATTGTCATATGGTCACCAACAATCACTGGCGGTATCAAGTTTTTTTTTTTTTTTTGCATAGTACTGTTGTCTGTTGTAACATGCCAACTTTTCCACATTCTGTTTAAAATGGTTGTTAAATGCTATGGTAAACACAAGAGTCACTAGTCTAGTCTCTGTACATGGTGGATGGAGAACAGTGGTGGACTGTAATCACTCACTGGCTCCATGAAGCTTTGTGTTGGAGCAGAAACAGAAGGGTATTAGTCTTTATGAATCTATATATAAACTTCAAGCTCAAAAAAAAAAAAAAAAGGATCTGTAATGAGATGACGGCCTCAACTTCAGTGACAATTTCACGTAACAGAAGTGCAGCCAGCATAGAATTGAAAATGATTTTCTGGTGAGCTGCAAAATAGAAAAAGGTTCTGGATGTGCGTGGAAAAAAAACATGGCTCTCTCACATCTTCCATGCCTTTCCGAATATTATACAAGCTTTTTGGTGAAATGAACTACAAAAACTGAAACTGTACAAGCAGCGGGCCGATTATGCAAATATGAAAATATCCAACATACATTCATTCTTCTCTCCGTATGACTCAACCCATTTTTAATCATGTAAATTATATGCCAATAGAATCAGTGTGACATTTCAGTGGAAAGAGCTTTACATAAGCTAGCAATTTGAACTGTCTTACATTTCTTACTACAGATTGTTTCACATTATAAGCGTTTTTTTATGTATAATGGCCAGCTGTGGGCTCTAAATGGTGCACTAGGGTGCTCCCTAGTTCAATAAATTCACTGTCAACACCCTATTCATGCCAACGCAATCTGGCATTGAGAGGTGTTTATCTGGTGCTGTGGCAGGAGTCCGGGTTACAAAAAGCAGCAGCAATTTTCACACGTCCTGATTTGAAAAAAAAAAAAAAAAAAAAAAGATAATTCCCGTCCTCATTTTTACACCCTCCTCCTGTTGTCCTCAATCATATACATACAAGAGAACCACAGCTCCACGTTCACCTTATATATCATTTCAGATAGTATACCTTCATGAATGGAAATCAATTGAAGCTAATTTCGTATGGTGAAGAGACAACGCTTTACGGTACCTGTGGTGTTGCGAGGATTTTCTCTGATCGGTAGATTCTGTGATTTTAGTCTTGTCGAGTGTATCTTCCGCAGGCTGCTGAGGATTGAAAGAATGTATGTAACTGGGGGTGTGTGGGTCTGTCTGAGCAACGGATGCACTCGGGGAGAGAGAGAGAGAGAGAGAGAGAGAGAGAGAGAGAGAGAGAGAGAGAGAGAGAGAGAAGAGACGTTGCCTATCTGTCTCCCTCCTCTTTTTGATGATAAACAGAGAACACGTGGCTTCAGCGGTAATGCAGCCAAATGAATGCCAGAGCACAACGGGCGAAGGGAGAAATAGAACTGAAAGAGACGAAGGCAAAATGATGGAGCTGAGGCGAAGGGAACGCAGTTTTTGAGTGAGTGTTGCCTGGTGACATATTTGCGTTCATCTCCTTGCCTAAAGCACTGAACACCGCAGTTGCGAGTTGGCGGATGAACGCAAGCTCCAAAATTGAGAAATACATTTTAACGCATACCGTCAAAAATAAGAGAATGTTCTTTCAAATGAGAGGCGCAATGTCGTGTTCGGCACAAGCAATTCTGACACGGTGTTACTGAGTATCAGCTCACAGACATAAGCACACCCACACAGACGCACCAACGCGCAACAGCCTGCAGGCACGAGAGCATTTTTTGTCTTGTTTGATGCAACCGTGAAAGGACCTGACCGTGTTTTGGTAGCTGTCGTTAAATGATTGGAGAGTGGAAATTTATCTGGAGAACGACGGCATCGGTAATTTATGGGAGTTTCCATATTGCATCGTTCAGAATGCCATAATAGGATCCTGGCGCTCTCGACGTGTTTACACAACCCTACGAACATCATATTTGCTTTGTTTGGATTTTATTCTACTGACATTTCTAAAAAAGCACCCGCTGAAGGTTAATTATATAAATATGTCGATTTGAATGACGAGTCGTTGGTGGAGCAACTCAGTGTGAAAGAGCATAGTGTTTACGCTCAGCTAAATTTATGACTCAAGTACTAATCACATCCACAGTAAATAGTCACGTGTAGACATTTGGTATTTTATAATATGAGTTATAGCATTAACAGTGAACTTCACTGTATTTCAATTATTATCACTCATGATAATTCTGTGGATTGTCTGGTTTATTTTTGTTATTTTTCCTATTGCCTCCGCTATTGTTAAGACTATCCGACTATATCTGTCTGAATGTGTGTGTGTGTGTGTGTGTGTGTGTATAGATAGATAGATAGATAGATAGATAGATAGATAGATAGATAGATCGATAGATAGATAGATAGATAGATAGATAGATAGATGTAGGAATTACAACACATTTTAAATATGCTTCTCCCTTTTTAAGGGACCAAATATTGGACAACTAGCTATTCAACTGCTCCTTGGCCAGGTATGTGTCATTCTCATATTATTTTGCTTTCAAGGAGCAGATAAAAGGACATTTAATTTCAAGTGTGGTATATTAAACCTTTCAGGGACAGCGGTTACGACAGTGGACAGCTTATCATGTTATCGGGTTAGAGCAGGGGTCGGGAACCTTTTTGACGAAGAGAGCCTTAAAAGCAAAATGTTTGGAAATGCATTTCAGTGAGAGCGATAAATATATACACAGTAATCCCTCGTTTACCGCGGGGGTTACGTTCCAAAAAGAACCCGTGATAAGTGAAATCCGTGAAGTAGGAATTTATTTTAAAAAAGCAAAAAAATGTGACAGGGACGAAATTTCAAATGTGCTGTATGTGAAACATACAGCACATTTGACAATAAAGTTGTACTTGGTACTTGATAGTCAGCTTTATTTTTTACAGTTATTATATACAATACTGCGGCCCGGTAGTCCAGTGGTTAGTACGTCGACTTCACAGTGCAGAGGTACCGGGTTCAATTCCAGCTCCGGCCTCCCTGTGTGGAGTTTGCATGTTCTCCCCGGGCCTGTGTGGGTTTTCTCCGGGTGCTCCGGTTTCCTCCCACGTTCCAAAAACATGCATGGCTGGCTGGTTGAACACACTAAATTGTCCCTGGGTGTGTGTGTGTGTGTGTGTGTGTGTGTGTGTGTGTGTGTGTGTGTGTGTGTGTGTGTGTGTGTGTGTGGGGGCGCGCGTGTGTTTGTTTGTCGATTGGCTGGCAACTGGTTCAGGGTGTCCCTTGCCTACTGCCCGATGACGGCTGGGATAGGCTCCAGCTCCCCCCGCGACCCTAGTGAGGATTAAGCGGTTCGGAAAATGGATGGATGGATATACAATACTGAACAATATATATAAAGTGCAGAGGCGATTGCTCTAAGACTGCAAGGGGAGCCCAGCTTCCCCTAAAATGTCAAAAAGTAAGTGATCAAATATATGTGTGTACGTACAATTGTGTGGACATGTCATTGACTAAATATGCACTACAACGCACTCAACTTTTGTTCCGAATCAGCTTCTTAATACTGGTTATGACGCGACTCTCTGCTCATTCATTCCCGCAGCTTCACTGTGCTTTAAACTGTGTGGACGCTGAGCGTCGACCGCGCGGACACTGGGCGTCTAGAGAGTTCAGTGTAGGTTGTCCCAATGCATTGAAACGAGACGAGTCATTGGATAAATGCTGGTTTTGTCCCGCTCATCAGACGTATCAGCTGGCCCGGACGCTGAGCTTTTCTGCATGATGATTGGATGATCTGTCTGAGGCTGAATCTCTTTTTGATTGACAGCAAAATGAGCCAATCACCGATCGTATGGTGAAGGCATCCTTTTTAGTTTTTTTGAAAAGGAATGGAAAGTAGAATTCACGTATAAATAAACAGACACATTTTATGATGTAGGCTGAAATTGAGCTTCCCCTCCTTGACAGACCAGCATCCACCACTGATACAATGAAACCATAAACCAAAAATTTGCAAAGGTAAATTTGGCAACCTTGTTATAGCGAGGGATTACTTTATATTAAAAAAAAAAAAATCCTCGTCTCACCCCTCAGGTGGTGTCCGTCCCCTCCCCATTCAGCTCGGGTCCTCTACCACAGGCCAGGAAGCTTGAGGAATTCTGCGCAGTATCCTTGCTGTTCCCAGCACTGCGCTTTTCTGGACTGAGATGTCCGATGTTGTTCCCGGGATCTGTTGCAACCACTCATCCAGTTTGGGGGTCACTGCCCCGAGTGCTCCGACCACCACAGGCACGACTGTCACCTTTAACTTCCAGGCTCTCTCCAGCTCCTCTCTGAGCCCTTGGTATTTCTCGAGTTTCTCGTGTTCCTTCTTTCTGATGTTTCCATCACTTGGGACCGCTACATCCACTACAACGGCTTTCCTCTGCCATTTATCTATGATCACGACATCCGGTTGGTTCGCCATTACCATCTTGTCAGTCTGTATCTGGAAGTCCCACAGGATCTTCGCTCCGTCATTTTCCACCACCTTTGGAGGTGTTTCCCATTTTGACCTTGGGGTTTCCAGTCCATACTCCGCACAGATGTTTCGGTAGACTATGCTAGCCACCTGGTTATGGCGTTCCATGTAGGCTTTCCCCGGCCAGCATCTTACACCCTGCAGTTCGATCGTCTCAGGTGCCTCTTTGCACAACCTACACCTTGGGTCTTGTCTGGTGTGGTACATCTGGGCCTCAATGGCTCTGGTACTCGGGGCCTGCTACTGAGCAAGTTGAAATAAACAGAATCTGCCAATAAATAAAGATGGGTTTTCTCCGGGTACTCCGGTTTCCTCCCACATTCCAAAAAACATGCATGGCAGGTTAATAGAACACTCTAAGTCTAAATTGTCCCTAGGTGTGAGTGTGAGTGCGGATGGTTTGTATGTCTCTGTGTGCCCTGCGATTGGCTGGCCACCAGTTCAGGGTGGACTGCTCGAAGACAGCGTCGATGCTCCTTGTGAGGATAAGCAGATTAGAAAATGGATGGGTGGATGGATGTCCCAACTTCATTGTAACTGGGATTTGTGCAATTGAATATGAAGTCACTCAGTATTTTCTCTCTATGTGGAGGCTTTTGGTGAACGCTGAGAGTCAATCAGGAAACCACAAGGTGTGGACCACTCTACAGCAAAAGGCAATAGTAATTTGGCAGCCACAAACTCAATCCCTCCAATCTCTCAGTGTGTCCATCAAAATTCATGTGCACTCCAAAAGCGATCTACAGCAAACAAGTAAAATGGTTGGGGCACAAATTTACACGTACATTAATTGATTCATAGTGATTCTCTGCTACAAATGACAACTTATCTCTTCAGTCATATTCATGAGATGAGATCCATCCTAAAGAAACTGACAGCAGCTTTTTCATTTTTTCCGAGTGCCGTCTATCCATCTGTTGTCGCAACTAAATCTCAGAATTTTCTTCCATTGTATGCTAATTGGATCATGATAAAGATGCTGAGGAGGTCTCTGATGTTTGATAACCAAAGGTGTTGTTTCTTGTTTTACAGTGGTAGCTTGTCGATAGAGGGTGCGAGGATGCCACCCTACTGCCCAGCCGAGTCACATTGCAAGGGACTGTTTGGAGTCACTTTGGGTGACAAGCAGGGTACACTCTGGACTGGTTGCCAACCAATCAGGTCAAAATGTGCCCACACAAGATATCCCAACACAGATTCAGTTCATATAAAAAAAAGAAAAGCTTGAAAATGAAAACATACAAAGAAAGAATTATCTCTGGCTGTAATAGTGCTTACCTCTCCCATGGAGGTCATTCTTCAACATTAGTTTTTCAAAATTTCTAAATAACTGAAACGTTTAACTTATCTTTGTTTTCTTATCAAACAAAATCAAAGGTGTCTGGAGTTGGGAGGGTCAGCAGAATCTCATATAAAGTTAAACATAAAATGGAGAGTTCCCTGAAGTTAACACAATTGATCCCTTATCACCGTCAACATTTTTAAAAAGACCAATGTCGATAGTTGCCAAAATGCCAAATATCGGCGCAGACAATCAGCTGATCATCGGGTATCTCTATACAGTACATGAAATCACCACATGTTCATAACAATGATGCAACAGCAACTCTCTGGACTCAAACCACTCGACCAGATTCAATATCAACCTTCCCAGATCGCCCAACCACTCATTGATACATATTTCTGATGCTTTCTAAATCTCTGCGCACGCACGAACGCAGTATGAAAGAGACACAATGAAAATATATCGGCCGAAATTAAAACCTGGGCCAAACACAACTACCACTCTGTGGCATGACTGGCCTCCAAATCCATTTTGATCGACTGTCTTCAAAGCACACTGTGTGCGGTAATGTCACAGGAACTCACAGTGAGCCTGAACACACACCGATAGACGGGTTGTTAACAGCTGTTGTTGTTATTATTATCACTCATCACGATGTTACGTTGTAAACTACAGTAGTGTTCATGTGTGGAGTATAAGCACTCTGTACACTGTAATTACAAAAAGTTTTTAAAAAAGAATTTCAATTTTCCATTGGTAACCAGACAATATGTATGGACAAAAAACAGTTGAAAAAAGATGCTGTCAGATTTTGTGGGTCATTTCCAAGGAAAATCTGGACTCGTGTATTTTGTTTACGTGACTAGGCATCGGTATTATGCAACCGATTGACTGATGGGACAGAGGGAACAATGACAATTGACATTGTGTCAATAAATGTGTGAGTGGTGGTGAGAATCAAGCATCAAGCACTCACACTACTGTTGAAACTTGACAGTGTACACTGCGTTCCACATTACTCTGCCTATGTTTTTTTAATTGACTTTTCTAAATCCAGTCGCCAATTTGATATACAATGAATACTACACAACATTTATACATAAAATGTATTAGCTTCTATAGATCAGTTTCATGTGATGTATGCATACATTAAGTCTGGCTGCGCGCGCATCTTGGAGGCAGAAAACACACGCTTGTGAGTCGTAATACCCTCAGGCCGTGGATTGTCAGAATGGAAAGAACACACACAGAGATCTAGTCTTGTATAGAATTCCTGCTGGTAAACACCCCTTTCAGAAAAAACGGCGAAAGTTATGGTTACAAGCTTGACGACGTGAGAATTGGACTGAGGAGACAATTAAGAATGCTCGTCTTTGCAAACAACAGTGACGTCATTAAGATGCGCGCATCTTGGAGGCAATGTTTGCAAACATTGAAACTCATCTATAATGATCAGTTGATGGAATGAAAATACTATCATGACAACAGTAGTTTTCATCCATCTATGCATTTTCTGATCCGCTTCTCCTAACAAGGGTCGTGGGCCATGGTGGAGCCTATACCAGCTGTCTTCGGGCAGCAGGCAGGGGACCCCCTGAACTGGTTGCCAGCCAATCGCAGGGCACACATAGACAAACAACCATTCACACTCACACTCACACCAAGGGACAATTTAGAGTGTTCCATTAACCTGTCACTCATGTTTTTGGAATGTGGGAGG